GAAACATATATCATTGGATTTTACACAACCAATAGCAATCGAGATTCCATTGATCGATACTTCAAACTTATTGGTCTTTTAAATGAACCAATTACCTACAAAAATTTAGAAAAGTAAAATAGGCGATAATCCATCCATAAAGCCTTAGAACTAATTGTGACTTTGATTTGTAATATTCCAATCGCGCAATTGTAAATCAATATGTTGTAGATTGGTATTGTAGTTTAATACCGATTATTTTGTAGTTTACTTTTCTACTATTTTTTTCTTTTTTTTGATCGTACACTTGCAAAATTTCTCATGAATTTATTTGTCTTAAAACCTCTCTAAAGTAAGTCAATTAACTTAAAAATTACTATTAGTAGAATGATTTAAAAAAAAAAATAAAATTTACATTATTAATTAATATAAATAGTCATATAATTCATTTTAAAAAACATGACGACAATATATATAAAATAAATGAACATATGAATATTTATATTTAATTTACAAAATAATTACAATATAAAAAATAATCTAGAATGCCAAAAATAGAAAATATATATATATATATATAGTCCAAAATATAATAATAATAATAAAAAAAACCCCTTTAAATTTGTAGGAAATAGAAACGATGGAAGCAATGTTAATAGAATTTCTCAAAATTTAGAGTCCGTTAGAGTTCATCCATTTAAAAGTATATATAAGTATTAGAATTTTCAAATATATTTTTTAGTCCTTTTTATTATCTTTAATTGTCATCACTTGAATTTTATACTCCCTTAGTCCCATAACAAAGTATCCATTTTTTCATTTTAGTCCGTGCAATAACAAAATATTAATTTCTTTTTTAGTAATTGTATACATCTACCCAACATTACAGATACCCTTACAACGTACAATATATTATACAAATATCATTACCTTTATATCACACTATACTAATAAGGTTATTTTAGTCATGTCAACTTTATTCATATTATATCTTAATATAATACTAATATTTCTAAAATGACGTGTAAAAAACAAACAAATATCTAGTTATGAGAAGGAGGGATGATTATTATTATATCATGTATATATATTCTGGCCTAAATCCACAACTAAAAAGTTTAATAAAAATAAAAATAAAAATAAAAATTGATTAAATATATAGCCAGATCTGGATCTCGGCTAAATGACAAAAGTTAAGAAAATTCTTTAAAATGTCATATGTGAAATATAAAATCAATATATATATATATATGTGAGATGGATATTTATAACCGCTATTCTTTAAGTATGTAGATAATCCCGACATAGCATAAATCTATGAACTACGTCAATAAAAGTCACACTAGATAAGTCATGTGTGATATAAAATTTAATTTTAAAATAATGTGTTCACTTAACAATTTTATTTTATTTTGTTTTTCACTATTCAATTATCATAATTTTTTATAAAATTATATCATTTTAAATAAAATGTATCATATTCAAGCAATTATTTAAATAAAAAATATAAACTAAAATCTGAAAAAGTCACATACTACTTCTATATATTATACTACTTCAAGCATTTTTATTTTATTGTTGTGATCGAATAATGATTATATATGATGCTTTTAAATAATAATGAAAAAAAAAATGTTGGATACAATTTTCTTTAAAAAAAGAACAATAAATTGAATAGTTCAAAACTTGCTATAAAAAACATAAAGAAAATTGTAGTTTTTGTTGTTTACACATATCTAACTATTTCTTCTTATATTTCATATTTTTTATCATAGTATTTTTCATTGGATAAATTTCAATAATTTAAAATCTTAGTTTCATAATTGTTAATGTAAATATGATATATTTTTGAATCATGTAACGTTCATTTGAACTACTAAACGACGAACAATGAAAACTTATTCAATCAAATTGCGATGACAAAAAAAAAAAAAAAAAAAGATCAAACAAAAAAAAAAAAGTAGATAAACATATAGATATACTTTGAATAATATAAATAAGTATTTGATATAATTTTCTAAATGAAAAATAATTTTTATTGTTCTAAATACTTTGAATAACAAATTAAAAACATATAGCCATATTACATATTATATTTTTATGTATACTTATGATTTCTTTTTATTAGTAAACGATTTTATCCTAACTTATTTTATACTCCCTCCGTCCCACTTCTCATGTTCACCTTTCCATTTCCGTCCGTCCTATTTATTTTGTCACTTTTATTTTTTAGAAAAGAATTAGACACTTTAATTTTATTTTAAAAAATTTAACGTATAATTTTTTTAATTTTAATTATACTAATCAGTTATCTTAATCTATAATTATTTTTATTATACGATAATTATTTTTACTAATATATTTTTAATTATTTACTAATTATACCCCTCCTAAATTCCCGTGTCTACTGTAAAGCGGACACAATATCCGAGACGGGGCGAGTATCAATTATGTATTCAAGAATAAGAATTAAATCATAATATTATTTGAAAATTTAACATCCTATTTTATAATTGTATATATGAAAAAAAAAAAATGGGGGTTTATTTTATTTATTCATATATTGGATTTTTAGGACATGCCATGCTAGAGTAGATCTGATGCAGTGTATAATGATAGATATATTTTATATGGCTTTGTATGTATTATCTAAAATATATATATATATATATGTGAGATATTCATAATTAATAAATAAATAAATAAATAAATATTTATGTGTAGACAAATTAATTCAATTTTCAATGAATTCATTGATGGTTGTGCAGAAGGAATATTTGAACAGCTTTCCGTGACTGTGTGTCTCTCCTAAATTTCAATTTATTTTTGATACTTATACATAATTCACGTATATGTATATTGCAAAATAAAATAAATAAATAAATAATAGAACACACAAAAAATTATATATATATATATATATACACACATGTTGTAAATACTTCACATATAGAAATTAAAAATTAATAATAATTTTAATTGTGTTATTTTATTTTTTTATGTTCTTAATTTGAAATTTATTTTTCTAAGGTCTTGTTTACTTTGTAATTGGTATAGCATTTTTATTTTAATTTCTTAGTGAAATGGTGTTTTGGATACCATACTTTATATATATAAAAAAAAATCAAATTAATATATATATATTTTTTTTTTGAAAAAAATTAAATATATGTAAGCTGTACAATGTGGATATGAAAATAAAAATACATCTAAATACAACGTAAATATTATATCGAAAAATTGCAATGTTACGATTACAACATCCTAACTTGATATGGACTATTCTATTTTTTATGTACAAAATTCAACTTTTGGTAATGGTAAGTATCCGATCGAATTTAATATCAATAATTTGCTTACTAAAATCATAGTAACGATTCTAGACCAAAAAATGCGTAAGTTGATATATTTATAAATTTGGTACAGATTCGTCGTTGAAAAGGAAAATTTGCCGAATGTGATTTAAGAAATTTAGAATACAATTTAACAAATTTAGTATATGATTCAATATATATTTATATATATCCTCGAAAAAAATATAATTATTTTAGTATAATCCAATAGATTTCAAAAATGAAATAATAGGTAAGAAAATTATAAAAAAAGAATGAGAAAAATTAATTACTCCCTCCGTCCCAAATACCGTGTCTGTTACACTGTAGACACAATATTTTAGGAAGAGTGTAATTAGTAGATAATTAAGAATGTATTAGTGAAAATAATTATCCTTTAATATAAATAATTATAAATTAAGATTAAGATAACTAATTAGTTTAATTAAAATTAAAAAATTTAAAATGAGATTAAAGTGTGTAATCATTTTTCAAAAAAGGAAAGTGACATGGTGCGTGGGACGGACAGAAAAGGTGGACATGGTATCTGGGACGGAAGGAGTAATAATTAACAACCAAAATCATAATATGGTTGGTAAAACCTCAACAATTAATTAGGTAAAAATTAATTACATATACAAAAAAGGATAAGCAATTTGTAAAGATCATGACATAATAAACTCACGTATACTCATTTCTACTCGAACATATTTAGGAAATTAACCGATAGTAAGTTATAATATTTAGTTTGTTTACTCTAACATTTTTCAATGGAATAATCCTTCATAAATATTATTTAAAAAATACAAATATACACATATTAATATAACATATATATCATTTACTTATAAAATTTCAACAATTCAACATAAAATATTATATTTTATATTATCAACACAGTTATTATATATTTTTTTTTATATAAATGATATTGTTGGTATTTTTAAACTAAGAACTAATATACTCTTATATGATTAAAAAAATTAAAAATTTGTATATAAATATTTTAAACACTATTTATTAGGGATAAATATATAAATAAAGAGATTTTTAGCTGGTCTTACGTATATATTGCTCCCTCCGTCACTTATCTATCTATCCGTTTATTTTTTGCACGAAATTTTTGAAATATTAGTATTATATTGGGGTGTAGTATAAATAAAGTAGAAAAACTAAAAATAACCTTATTAGTATTGTGTGATATAAAGGTAATGACATTGGTGTAATATATTGTAAGCTATAAGATTATCTTTAATGTTAATAGAAAATACAGTTACTAAAAAACAGATACTTTGTTGTGGAACAGATTAAAATAGAAAAATGGATATATTGTACAGGGAGGAAGCGAGTATTATAAATTTAATTAAATTATGTAATTTATATTTGTTAAGTATTCTAAAATTAATAAATTTATTAAAAAAGCATGTCACTAAAATAAAAAAATATAATAAAATAAAATTAGGAATTATTCTCTCTTTCTCTATATATATATATGTGTATGATTTATTGATAATATAAAAAATGTAAAATAAAATGAAGAAAATTTTGAAAAAAAAAATAAAAATGAATAATTGAAGAAGGAAAACAACAAAGGAAAAGACAAAGTGAAACGTCAGAAATGGGAGGTGGCTCTCCCTTGGGCTCTCTATGGTTTTTGATGCAAAACTAGAGAAACAAACAAACAAGCACTCTACACATAGAGAGAGAGAGAGAGAGAGAGAGAGAGAGATACCCTCTTATCATCATCATCATCAACAACAACAATAGCATCTCTCTCTCTCTCTCTCTTCTCTCTCTCTCTCTCTCTAAAACAGGCAAGCAAGCAAGCAGGCAGGTGTGTTTTCATGTGTATGGTTTTTATCGAATCTTGTTGGTTTTAGCAGCAATTCAGGTAATGTTTTTATTGAAAAATCCTAAATCAGATACATAGATACAAGTGTTTTTGTTAGAGACTAGCTAGTATAAGATTTTTGGAGCTTTTTGTATGTATATATATATATATATATTGCAGTGAAAACTGACTTTGTGTAGTACTGAGCTTTGCCTTCTTAATATATATATATATGTAATATATACAATGGGTTTAATTTTTGTCATCTTCTTCTTCTTCTTCTTCTTCTTCTTCTTCTTCCTCCTCTCTTTCTCTCTCTAGGGTTTGGTACAGAAGTTCTTCATTCTGCCAATTAATCCAATCCAGTAGTAATAGTACCAGTGAACTGAACATATATACATGGAATAATAAATCAATAATATTGAATTGAAAATTCAAGGACAAGATTGATTCAATTTGTGTAATTTGGCTTTTGATATTATTATATTTTTTTTATATTTATTTTTATTATTGTCTTCACCTTTTTAGAAGGCATTTTCGATTCAGGGTTTTCTGTGCATATGTATAATTAGCAGCTTCTGCAAATCCAGAAAAGCTGAATATCACCAACAACAACACTGTTTCTTGCCAGCTGACCCACCCACCCACCCCACCCCTCTATGTATGTATATATATATATATATAACTGGCCTTCCTTCATCTTCTTTATTTTTACTTCTGTTTGCAGAATGGTGGTGGATGACAATATGTCGAATTTAACATCTGCAATCTCCAATGAAGCCAGCATCTCCTCCAACAGCAACATCATCAACGAAATCGGCACCACTTTGTACCTCCAGCACCACCTCCCGCCGCCGTCACTTCCGCCGGCGCCGGCCAATAATTACGAGAACCCACCCCCTCCAAAGAAAAAACGAAATCTCCCAGGCAACCCAGGTACGTACAGCAGCAATTAACCTAAAATTTTGCGATTGATTTCGATTGAATTGATCGATTTAAAATCGAACTAATTAATTGATTGATTGATTGATCAGATCCTGAGGCGGAGGTGGTGGCGCTATCTCCGCGGTCTCTAATGGCGACCAACAGATTCGTGTGCGAGATCTGCAACAAGGGGTTCCAGAGGGACCAGAACCTGCAGCTCCACAGAAGGGGCCACAATCTGCCATGGAAGCTGAAGCAAAGGAGCACGAAGGAGGTCCCGAAGAAGAAAGTGTACGTGTGCCCGGAGATCAGCTGCGTCCACCATGACCCTTCCAGAGCCCTCGGCGACCTCACCGGAATCAAAAAACACTTCTCCAGAAAGCACGGCGAGAAGAAATGGAAGTGCCAGAAATGCTCCAAGCGCTACGCTGTTCAATCCGATTGGAAAGCTCATTCCAAGATTTGTGGCACCAGAGAGTATCGCTGCGACTGTGGCACCCTCTTCTCCAGGTAAATCAATTCATTAATTAAACCCTAAATCCAATTTATGAAATTAAAAATCCGATCTTGATCGATTTTGATATGGGGTTGGGGGGGGGGGGGGGGGGGACAAAAAAGTTGATTTGAATTCACACAGGCTGCTGCTTTTCTGCAAAAAAATTTGGGCACATCGATCGAAGAACAGCAACGAAAGAATTTCAATTTTATTTTATTTTTTAGTTAAAGAATAAATTTTTGAGGACCTTTTCTTGTGTCTATGGAAAAATGATGAGAAAACCTCAAGAAGAGTTGACGATAGGCTTCAACTTTCTGTGAGTGTGTGTGCGTGTGAAAGTGACAGAAGATGGAAAAAGAAAAGCTTCACAAATCATGATGACAATACAGTATTATTATTATACATATATATATACGTATGTGTATGTATATATTTTTGTGGTATGGTTTGGTTTGGTTTGGGTTGGTTTTGTTGTTTAGCCATTGTTTGTTTGTTTGTGTTTTTTTGCAGGAGGGACAGCTTCATCACCCACAGAGCTTTCTGCGATGCTTTGGCTCAAGAAAGCTCAAGATCATCAATGGCGGCCACCACTCTAATTCAAAACCCATTTCTCCCTAATAATCACAACCTCTTCACCCAAACTAATTCCTTAATCCCTCCGAAACAAGAAACCCCCCAAAACCTCGTAACCCTCCCCCCATGGCTGTCCCCCAATTCACCCATCAACATTAATCCATTATTCCCAATTCAAGAAAACCCTAATCCCAATCCCAAGAACAGCAGCAACAGTCACATTCTGAATTCCCTAATCTCCTCCAATTCGAGCAATTCCCTAATGTCAGCCACAGCATTGTTGCAGAAAGCAGCCCAAATGGGGGTTACAATGAGCTCCAAAAATCTCCACCAATCCTCCGGCGCCGGCGCCGCCACGGCGCCGGCGGCGTTGCAGTCACGTGACCATGAAATTGGGGCTGGATCGTCCTCGTTCCTACAAGACATGACGACATTGATGATGGCTGCCTCTTCTTCTTCCTCCTCCACCACAGCCTTCGAATCGCCATTGCAGCAGGCCTTCCAAGGTCCCTTCGATGGACTGATGATCAATCACAGAAACAGCAGCTTCCATGAAAATGGCCATCTCATCATCAAAGACGACGGCCTGACTAGGGATTTCTTAGGGCTTCGAGCCTTCCCCGACCATCATCATCATCCTGGGAGCTTCGTCGCCATGGACGGTCTCGATCAATTGGCTTCTTCATCGTACGGTCACCATCAGACCGCTCCGAATCAACCTCCATGGCAGTCCTGAAAACCCCCCCTTTTGCCTTCTTCTTCTTCTTCTGTAAGAACATATCCTCCTAATTAATTAAGCTTTTGTTTTCAATTTCTTTTTCCTTTCGATTTCTGTAATAAAATATAAAATTGTCCCGTGGTTTTGATTTATTCCTTCTCGGACTCATCGTCACTCTGCTGTTAATTATGCTGTTAAAAAATTTTCAAGGTTTTTATTACAAAATACATTAGACATACATTCATTCACACACACACACATATATATATATATATTCTCTGCACATCTATCTATCAATTAGTGTTTTCTTGGATCGAGTTTTCGCTCACGTGAAAGTTAAAAGGATGGGTGTTTTTTTTTTTTTTTTTTACCGTCGGTGGATTTGTAATTAAATTATTTAAGATAGTAGAATTGGATGTAGGTTGTCTTTGACAAAGTTTCTGCTGACAATGGCCATGCATTATTTCTTTCTCACTCATCGTCTCAGTTCTGAAACATATTCCTTATATTATTGTACCATTTTATTTTATTACACTGTTCATTCTCTTTGCAATTATAGAGATATATATATATATATATTTGTTATATCTAATTAATCTCAGAAACAACTCTTTTTTATCTAAGTTTTGTTTGAAAAGATTTGATTTAAATTTTGTAGTAAATAATATTTGATGAGAATTTTTTACAAAAAAATATGTTTTTTTTTTTTTTTTCAAAAAAATATAGAATTCAAATAATAAAATATACAAAAATTTGTGTTAAAGAAAAACTGTCCTACTTGAAAACTGGTGCATCTATTATCTTTGTTTTTTTCATTGACTCAGATAAAAATGTTCGATGGCTAATAGTTTAGAAACTATCACTTTGTTTACACAATTCATTTTTGACAATATTTATTTTTTAAAAAATCACTTTTTTTTTTTCAAATTTTCAAAATTCCAAAAACTTCTATTTAAAATAGAGTTGACAATTGGTCGATTCGTGTATCGGGTTGAATACTTTAGGGTGTGTTTGTTTGGGGGTTTGGATTTTGAGTTGAGATTTGAATAGTAAAAATTTTGAATTTGAATAGTTGTATGATGTGATATAAATAGGTGTTGATGTGATGTTTTGAATGTAAAATTGATTTTTAGTATAATATAAAAAATAAAAAATAGGTATTTGATTTGATGTTTTTTAGGGAAAAAATAGGATGAACAGTTGAAATCTAATCCAATCATCCAAACAAACACAACCTAAACAGGTTAAATTACTCAACCCTAACCCGACCCGTTTATGATCATGTCGGGCTCGTGTTGACCTGTTTATGATCGTGTCAGGTTCGGATTGACTCGTGTTGACCCGTATACATAATTAAGTCGAATTTTTTGATTCAAATTAAATAAAATTTTTGTTATGTTGTCGGGTTATGTTGGTTTTTATTGGTTTGAGCGTAAATTAGGTTGAATTATTTAAAATTGAACTTAATTTAAATTAATTTATGAGAAAATTATTAAATTATGATTATTTTCCGTATATATAGTAAATACATTAATCAATATGAATATATATTATAATCGGGTTGTCGTGTCGGATTCGAGTTGAGAGTCTCAACCCTAACACGATCCGTTTACTATCGTGTCGTGTTTGTGTCAACCCGTATACATAATCGAGTTGAAATCTTTGACCCAAATCCAATTATTTCGTATCGGTCCTGTCGAAATCAGTTTTTGCAGACTCTAATTTAAACAAAGCCTAAATTCAACAAGGCAAATGTTGAGTCAGAGTTCTTCTACCTAAGAATGGAAAAATTTTGTTGAATTCAAAAAATATATATATATTTTTTTTTGAGCGAAATTGATGTATATATATATATATATTAATGTATTAAATCAACATAAAGATTGTAGTCGGCAATATAATAAACACATGTGACGTGGACGATGGCTCGAGGGGGTCGTGCGCCAAAGTCCCCCTTTTATAGAGGTGTTAAAAGTAAATTCGATCCGAAAAATCGAACTCATTCGACCTGAAATTTTTTAGGTTCGGGTTTGGGTATTTTGGGTTTGAAAAAAATCAGGTCGATTCAAACCTGAAACGAAAAAAATTCGTGTTGTGTTCGGATCGTGTTTCGGGTTGACCTGATAACTTGAAATATCAAAATCAGGTTACGTTTTGGATTTCGTGTTTCGGGTTGACCTGAAATTTTTATTATTATTATTTTAATTTATAATATTTATATTATTTTATATTTAAAATAATATAAATATAAAAAATAAAAATAAAAATAATATTTTTTAGGTCAATTTAATTTTTTTTTAAATTTTCGGGGCTGTTTGGTGTCGGGTTCGTATCGGGTTTGTTCAGGTTTCGGGTGACCTGAAACTAATTTAGGTCAACTTGTACCCGACCTGAAAGAATTTGTGTCGTATTCGGGTTTAGGGTTTCAAGTCAGATTTCGAATTCGGGTCGGGTTCGGATTGACAATATTTTTTGTTCGAATTGACACGAACACGACCCAAAAACACGAATTGACACCCCTACCCTTTTAGTTCCTCTAATTTATTATGCAAATTTCACTATTTATTATAAATAATATTAATTTTTAATAAAATTTTAAATTCAAATAACTATTTAAACCAAAATTTCAAATGGGAAATTCACAATATTGAATATACAAATAATTGAAAAAACGACAGCAATGATAATAAACTTTGTAACTAAGCATTTTAATATTTCCTCCAGTAATTGAAATCAAGACTCAATTTACATACAGATGGGTAAAGGATGACTCGGTGAGATGGGGTGGAATTCTGACCGTAAGGTCATGGATTGAAATATGCTATATTAATTAATTTATTTATTTTTATTATAGTTTTATGATTATCAATTAAAACATACAAGTTTTCGATATAAAATATAAGATTTAATAATTATTTTACCTTAAAATCAAATAAATATTATGTAGAATTCACTTTAAAGAACATCGAAATTGAAAAACACAACAATAATACTCTTTATGTTATGTAAAATTATATAGATTTGATTAGATATAAAAATTAAAAAATAATAATATTTTAATATTAAAATAAAGTAGATAAAAAAAAAATTAAGTGTAGAATTCACTTTAAAAAATATGAAAATTGAAAAATATAACGATAACAATAATACTCCTTATATCTTATAAACTATAGATATAGTTGGATACGAAAATTAATAAATAATAATATTTTAATATTAAAGAGAATATATAAAAATAAATTGAGTTATTATAAAAAAATTATTAAATAATTGATAAAAATAATTAAGTAGAAAAAATAACGTTAAAATAAATAAATTATATATAAATTTAAAGACAATAAAAATAAAATAAAATAATATAGTAATATAATTTGAACAGACTAATGAATAATAATAATAATAATGCGTTATTTGATAGCGGGTTTGGTGTTAGAAGCACGACTTCTATAGCAATAATAAATAAATAATTAATTAATAAATAAAAAGAGTGGCGGAGCAGACGGAAATCAAGACGACGCACAGTCATCCTTTGCTGAATCGAGAAACGGTACAGAGTGAACTTGAAGGCAGGATTCCGGCACCGGAAAAAGCAACGGAGTCAGACACTCCGAGTAAGTATTCATGATCGATCTACTCGGTCCTGATTTACTTTCAATATGGATAGATAAGAGAAAAAAAGAGTCATTTCGTTTCGAGGGTTTATTCATATCGCCATTTCCCCCAATCGACCTTTAATTTGCCAGTGGTTGAGCTGAAGAGAGTGACAATACGGAATAGCCATGGCGAGAATCTTATAGGACTATTACGCGAAACCGGGTCGCTAGAAATTGCAATTGTCTGCCATGGATTCCGATCCTCAAAGGTGTCTAATCTAAACCGATTTTCTCATCAATTCATACGCGCAATTGTCTTGAATTCCTTGTGATAATTAATTTTGTTAGGCGTATCTTAGGATCGCATTCCTATGGTGAACCTTGCCCTAGCTTTCGAGAAAGAGGGATTGAGTGCCTTCCGTTTTGACTTTGCCGGTAATGGGTGAGTTGTTTCGAATTTGTTAACTTCTGCAGATTTGGATTATGCCTTACTGAACTAATTTCAAACCTCTGTTGCTTTTAGGGAGAGTGAAGGGTCATTCCAATATGGCAATTATTGTAGAGAAGTTGAAGATTTACGGTCTGTAATCGAGCATTTTCGCAGGGAAGAACGTCTCATTGCGGCAATTATTGGTCACAGTAAAGGTTTCATACAGTTTTCCATAAGTTCTGTTGGTTTATTTTCATTAGTGGATTGATATGTGAAAGCTAGAGAGCATTAGATGCTGAATAAAACTTGCTAAAGGCGATCAAGGATGTTATTTAGCCGATTTTTTAATCGAGGACTGCAATTAGATAGGAGTGCACCTATATAGTTTTAGGATTTTGCTGTTTTTCGACAGGATAAATTGGTCTCTTTGGACTGCAAGAAAAGTCTATTCGAACATGTTTCTTGACTTGTTGATCAATGATAGTATGATATATGTTGTATAACGAAATGTTAAATTCTATTGAACCACTTAAAAAGAACATCTATGAACTCATTTGCTGAATTTTGCTTCTCAGAATCTGATCCAAATTGTGTGGGAAAATATTGAAGAGTTGCGTATCTTCGAATTTAGAATTTGTTACTTATGTTAGAATTTAGAATTTTATTAGGAGTAAATTTTGATTATGTGTTCGAATTACCACTCTAATTGTATAATAGTATGTTTCGAGTACTTTTTACTAGTCGTGATGGGGAAAACACCAATGTTTAGCGTCAAGTTCCGAATTCGTTTTTCTTTGAAAGTTACAAGAATCTCAGAAAATCGTAATGCGCATATCCATGACTATGTTGTATTGCTGAAATGACTTATTACAGGAGGGAATGTTGTGCTTTTGTATGCTTCAAGGTATGGTGATGTACAAACAGTTGTCAATATGTCCGGTCGATTCGATTTAAGGAGAGGGATTGCAGGTCGATTGGGAAAAGACTTCCAAGAAAGAATCGAGCAGCGTGGGTATATTGATGTCAAAAATCGGAAAGGTAAGTCAGCTCTTTGTGTATCCTGATTTCCTCGTCGTGATCCGTAAGTTCAGACATCATATTAAGTTTCCTATTACTTAACAACAGCATTTTCCGAAGTTCTGTTTAAAATTGATGGGAAGGTTTTATTTTTGTGTAGATTTTGTACTCAAAAACACTTTCTAACAAAGGACTCATCTGCGCTATGTGAAGGAAAAACTGAATATCGAGTAACAAAGGAAAGTTTAACTGACCGTCTAGCAACTGATACTCTTGCGGCTTGTCGAACTATTCCCCGAAGTTGCAGGTTGGTATCTTACACGGGTCTGTTTCTTTTCAATCTGGATTGAGTTTGAAAGTTTGGATTTTTTTAATTATTTTTTTAAATAATGTTTGATACGATGTTTTGGTGAAGAGAAAATAGTTTACACAACATTTTTGGATGAAATGATTATTTTTTTTTTGTGGTATGAAAAATTGCGTCAAAAATATAAAATATACTTATTATTTTAGGTTGAATACTTATCTTTTGACTTTTTGTAATGATTTTTTTTTTACTTTTTTGTATTAAATGTTGTGTTTTTTGTTATTATTTTTGAGAAATCGCAATTGAAAAAAGGTGTTGAGATAACAAAGCAAATATATATATATATATATACTCTCTCCATCCGTCTTGCCTTTAAGGGTTGCATTTACGTTTTGCGTCATTGTATTATAAATATTTTTATATTTGTATAGTGTTTTTTACAAATGTCTTTCTATTAGTATTATAAGACACTAATTGAAGTATTTTTGAAAATTTTTCTTAATTTATACTATGTTTTGATATAATAATTAATATTCAAAGATTAATATGCAAGACTCTTAGAACCGGATGGAGGTAATATATTTTTAGGGAAACATAGAATCTAATTAGCAAAAACCAGTATAGAAACTGAAAAGGAAGAGTCCGGCCGTTTTGTTTGTTGAGTTTTGTCGAGATATTTGAGGGCGATTTATCGAAGATGTAATGAATACTTTTGCACTTTGAATATAGGGTGTTAACAGTTCACGGCACGCAAGATGAAATTGTCCCGGTCGAAGATGCATTTGAGTTCGACAAGCATATCCCGAATCATAAGGTGTGCATAGTCGATGGGGCTGATCATGAATACACCGAGCTTCAATCCGACTTGGCTTCGATTGTGCTCGACTTTGTGAATACGGCACGTGCTCATGGCAATGGCAATAAGCCCCTGCCTGAACCAACCTTGCCGGTGCCGGGCTTTGGAGTTCGAAGGATCGACAATTCTCGGCTTTAAAGGTTCTGTTTTTTTTTTAATAAATTTTTCTGTCTTTTGTTCACGCAATCATCGTGCAAGAGACAAGATGTTAATTTGTTTTTTGTACATTGATTTTTTTTATTTAGTATTATATTCTTATATAAGTATAAATTAAGAAGAAAAAAGCCAACTTACTATCTATTAGTGTTGTATAATATAAAACTATTGATATTTTCATAATATATTGTAAATTCTAAATAATTTTTAATATTAGATAGTTAGTACAATTAATTAAAAAATATATATATTTTTTATTTTTTGAAGAGGCGGAAATTTTTAAAAAAATAGATATTTTTTTTGGGACAAAGCAGTATATTATTTTGGTTCGTACAATATTATATTAAATCAATGTATAAACACAAAGTACAAATAATCAGAAGCATACAATTGTCGTTTAAAATTGAGTTCAAGATGTATTTAGTTATCGACATATTATATACAAGATGTATCATAGCTTCTTTTGATTTTGAATCAACAATACATATATTTCAATAAAAATATATTATTTTTTTAATAAAATATTATATCAAAATATTATATTTAAAAAAAATTAAATTAATATTTTATTTCAAATTAAGTTCGAATCTCAATCTAATATAACAAAAAATTGTTTATATATATAATAATAATTCTTTTATTTAAATATCATAATCAATAATTATTTCACAAAGAAAAAAAGAAAAATACACTCAAACCACACTTTTATAACCTCTAGATTGTTTCAAGATACCATTATTTCGACTTTATTTTTAGTAAAGAGCTTCCAAACAAGAACATCACTAAGGCCACGTCCACGACCACGACAACGATCAATTCTGCTTTGAAACCGGATACGGATACAACTCTATAATCTTCTTCCACGACGGCCTAGCGCTTATATCATCCCACCAAGCGCTCACGTGCTTCCGGTCCCTAACCAAATACTCCTTCCCGGGCATGTGGTTCGTCAAATAATGTCCAAAAGGCAAGTGGCTAAGATCGGCTAAGCTGAATGTTTCGCCGGCCAAATATTTGCTCGTGGACAACCTCTCCTCGTAAATGTCGAGCACACGGCTGAGTTTCTCCTCATTTTCTTTAATGCGCGCCGGATCAGGCGTTATGCCCATTTTCGGACCCAACACAACTTGCATTACCAAGTCGAAGACGGGTGGATCGAAATGATGGGCTTCGACTTCTATCCATTGTTCGACGAGTCCTCTCTCCTCTATTGTCGTTCCCATGAGTTGATGTTCTTGAGATTTGAATTTCTCCACTAGGTATCTTATGATTGCCCGGGATTCTACACGCAAATTATTCGTTGGCGAGTGGGGTATTTGTAATTTTTGTATATTATTGATAGATAAATTATAATAAAAAGAAAATATCAATAGTATTTGCAAAAATCATCGACTGATTTTCTTTTAGGGCGTGTTTGTCTGGAGGATTGGATTTTTCATTCAATTTTTTCCCCCAAAAAATTTCAAATCAAACACCTATTTTTTATTTTTTATATTATACTAAAAATCAATTTTAGGTTCAAAATATTACATCAACACCTATTTATATTACATCATACAACTATTCAAATTCAAAATTTTTACTATTCAAATCTCAACTCAAAATCCAAATCCCTAAACAAATACACCCTTAGCGTATTGAGTCATCATTAGACCCGAATACAATAGTCGACAAAGCATGTTTGAAAAAGCCACCCTAGATATAAATATTACTGGCTCCGTCCGGCTCTGGCTCTGAGGTCTCATTTACTTTTTATTTGTTGATATTTGAATATTAATTATTATATTAAAACTACTTTTATCGGTGTCTTGTAATACTAATATAATGATATTTGTACAAAAAATTATTATAAAAATATTTTTAATGTTAAGTAGAAAAAGACAAAATGTAAATATGATACTTAAATGCACACCAATGGAGTATGTTAGAATGATATAAAATTTTTTGAACAAATGTAAGAATTTTTTGTAATAAATAAAAATACATAATTTGAGAATTTCAATTAAAAAAATAAAGAAAGAAAAAAAATGCTTGACCAGTACTTACTAAAATATCAAATTTCAAAACCTATACTCCCTTCATTATGAAAAATGTGTGCTCATCGAGTTTTAATAAAAATAATAATAATAGTTATTTTTTTTATAATAAAAAAAATATAAAGATGTAATACTTTTTTACTTAAAAAAAATTGAATATTTTTTAACAACAACATAAAGGAAAGTGAGTATAGATTTAAAAGCTGATAGAATAAAATACAAATACAAAAATAAAGTTTATATAATTGTAGGGTAGTATCAAGTGAGTACCGTATAGCGTATAATCCCCTTCTTTAATAACCGGAAGCATAGCAAATGGCTGCACCAATTCATTCAATTTTCCAAATTAATTCAAAATACATACATACAAATATATATATATATATCTATAGAGAGAGAGAGAGGGGGGAGGGAGAGAGAGACCTGCAATTTGAGAAATTGAGGTGATTTGTGCTCTCCTTTGAAAAGATCGACATGGACGACGTCGTATTGAATCCCGATCTCCTCAAGACAAGCGATCACTCTCTTCGGATTACCGTAGGTTGGGCCGTACACCGTCACCACCGCCATCGATATATATATATATTTCTTTCTTCGTTCTTTTTTCTCTCTCTTCTTCTTCTTCTTATGATCTCATCTGATCTAATCTGATATTTATGTATTACTATCAACTATTGAGACAAGGACAATGATATGAGATAAAAAGGATTGAAGAGGATAAGGACAAGTAGTAAGTAATAATAATAGCCACAAACCTACTTTTTTTATTTATGCAATAAATTAAATTAAGCTTTTGTTAAAGTCATGGACGTGTTTGATTTGGATTTTGTATTGGAAAAAATATTTGACCGTTTGTTATTTCTCACAAAAGTAATAATAATAAAATCAATTATTGATGCTTTAACATATATATATATATATATATATATAAATTTATATCGACAATATTCCAAGCAGATGCAACAAAATCGAATAATCCTTCTTCCCCAACAAAAGGCTGATTTGCTTCTAGATGGATTCTAGATTGGGAAACAAATTCAAAGTTTTTCCACTTGATGGTTAAGCTTAGAAGATGCAAGTCTTCGATTTTTGACATCTCGAGATTAAATGGTTAGTTGTAGTTCAAGCTGTTGAGCTCTTCCTTGACATGTTTGATGTTGTGTACATGTGAGGGAAAAAAAGGAAAAAAAAAGTTTGGACATTCGAAAAAGATAATTCCAGCTTATTAAATCCGTTTTCAATCCATGAAGTCCGTGATGGTATTTTTTTTCCATTGCACGAGGATAGTATTGCTGGCCCGAATGGTTTCAAGAAAAGAAACATGTTAGTTCTCTTGTAAAAATACGGAAAAATCTTCAATATTGGGATATTTCATTGCCATTAGAAGCTTTTTCTTATAAGCTTTGGTGGCGCCTTAGAGAGCAAAAATCGTTAAGGGCCAAAGCCATGGAGCAACAATATTTCAAATTTCTTTCTCAAGAAACATCTCACCTAAGATTCACGACAACCCTATTGAAACGACCATGTGGAGTTCGTACAACAGCTCAAGAAAGTATATTTTGGCCGTCATCCTCTATCGACCGAGCTTAGTGGTCGACATTCCCACATTTCGGTTTACTATTTTCTGAAGCATTAATAATTGAGATTTTCTTAAGCTTATTTCTATCCTCCCGTTTCGTATCGTTGAGATCATCGTGAGCGTTCCTATCATCTCCACCTCGATCGGTTGATCAACCGATTTGAACATAGTCTTTGTCAAGCATGTTCGCTGCGTCTTCTGCTTTGGACATTATCCATTTTGCCACTCATTCTAGCCTTATCTCTACAACTTGTTGGTCTCGGCACATAACTCTTACCATGTTGTTTTATTTTGCACTTTCTTTGGAATCGTATCCCCAGAGATTTTAAACTTCAAAAATATGGATATCTCTTTAGCTTCTAAACTTGTTGGAATCGTGTTTATTTAGGGTGTGTTTGTTTCAGAGTTTGGATTTTGAGTTGGGATTTCATAGTAAAAATTCTGAATTTGAATAGTTGTATGATGTGATATAAATATGTGTTGATGTGATGTTTTGAATGTAAAATTGATTTTTAGTATAATATAAAAAATGAAAAATAAGTGTTTGATTTAATATTTTTTGGGAAAAAAAATTGGATGAATTGTGTAAATCCAATCCAATCCCCCAAACAAACACACCCTAATGTTTCATTCACATCATTTCTTTACATACTATGATTAATCATTGGATCCTTTCATGCAAATACTATTTCCATTAAAATATCCAAATAATCATTCCATTGCTAAACTTTTCGTTCTCATGTGACAGGATTATTTGAAAAGTATGTCAGTAACATGCAAAAATCAAAACTCTTTTTTTGTAATTTTTGACAATATGCATGCATTAGTCGGATTGTCGCAGCAACTGTGTGATACAATTTTGACAAATACTTTACATACAGAAACTGTAGCCGGGTAGCCATCTTTGTGCAGGTTAAACCAGCTGGATATTTAATGTTTCGGGACAAATCGACTTGTCCCATGTAGAGGACGTGCAAGAGATGACACTTGCGTGCTGCACTTGTCCTGGAATGCATTTATTGCCTCGCCCTTGCTGCCCCAAAAGACAGCACACAGTCAACTTTGTTATCTTGTGTGCAGGATTTGTATTTTGTATAGATGTATGTTTGTTTTTGTGGATGTGTAACCAGGACTTAGAGAGTGTTATTCTCTCCACCAGATAAAGTGTTAAGAGAACTCATACATGGATGATTGAAGATGAGAAAAAGTATTTCTTTGAGCTGAAGCTGAAGGAGATAACTATCTGGTATGCAACTTTATTCTTAGTTTGGAAGTTGGTCTGCGGGTGTCGTTACGGTACAATAACAACCAGTCCATGAGAGTTTGTAAAACTAAATGGAACTTGGATAGAAGATAGGTTGGGTAGTTCGGGTTGGTGCCTTATATAGTGTAAACTAACTATTTGGTTTAGTTAATACTCCTGAATTTGAATCCCTCATGGTTGGAAAATCGAACTGGTAAACAAACCTTGTGTGTTGTTTTCTTTGTTGCACTCATTCAACTATCGATTTTTGCACGAACACACACTGTTGTTACAACCACAAGGGAACCATGCGTTCAAAGTTGTGTCGACCACCCACGGTTTCATATTTTCCGCTGCGCATAAAACTCGGAGACGTTGGACCTCTTTGGGACCGATCGAATTTCCAACAAAGTACATAAGAGCATTCGTTATAGTCGTTACCTCTAGGCTATTATTTTCTTTATCTCTCTCGTCCAAGTCATATTCAAATTACTTTTTTTTATCACCCGTTGTAGTTAATTACCTTTAACTCATTACTTTTACTATTTTATAATACCTACAATAATTTATTTATTTTTATATAATTTTATTATGTAGTAATATAATAAAAATAATTTATTTATTTATACATAGTTTTATATTTTTATTGTCTAATAATATTTTTATATAATATTATATATTAATCTCTAAATATTAATTTATGTAAATTTTAATAATTTGAAACATATAATTTACTATTTTAAAATTTGAATAGGAAAAACTAGAGACAAACAAAATAATTGTAAAATATGATAGATAAAACGATTATAATTGGTTAATGAGTTTTAAATATATTTATAGATAATCTTTATTGAATTTGAAATTTAAAATTTTAAGATTTCAAAAAAAAAAAAAAAAACTCCCTCCGTCTTACATATCATGTCCACGTTGCCGTTTCTGTTCGTCCCACGTTTCATGTCACTTTTATTTTTTTGAAAATGATTACACACTTTAATCTCCTTTTAATTTTTTTAATTAATTTTTTTAATTTTTAATTAAACTAATTAGTTATCTTCATTTTAATTTATAATTATTTATATTATAGGATAATTATTTTCACTAATACATTCTTAATTATCTACTAATTACACCCCTCCTAAAATATCGTGTTTACAGTGTAGCAGCCACGGTACGTGGGACGGGATAGTAATACTTAATTAATTTTCATTATTTTTGTTGAAGGTAACCAGTTCTTGAGAAAGGTAATAAATTTAAAATAATTATATTTCCTATTAAAGGTAACGAGTATTATTATAATAAAAATCGGAAAGATAATCACAAAAGTAATGATGAAAATGATTGTAACGGATGCTCTAGTCACCTACAAATTCTTCAGCACCCCGGTAGACTTGAGAGAAGCCACTGGTTGGACGATATCAAAGTTGTCGAGCATCTAGGGTTCGATTATGATAACCCACCTCGTCAACTTCAAAAATTATTATTTGAAAAAAAGTTGAGTTTCACATATAAGTATATGCATACGTAATGAAATAATAAAATAAACATATTTTTATAAGACAAAAAAAAAAGAGAGAATTTTACAAAACTGTTAGTTTGGATTGTTCGGTTAATTGGTTTGATTCGATTCGATTCAAAACTGAATTTATAAATTTCGATTTCGGTTCGTTATAGTTTTCAATTTTTAATTTTTGGTTAACAAAAAAAAAATCAAACTTTTAAAAATAATAAAAAAAATTATATATTAATAAATAATATATTATAATTTTGAATATTTATATTTGATTGTATAATATATATTAATAAATAAAAGTTGAGTTTCTTCGGTTTTAAACCGAGTTTGATTCAGTTTATTTGGTCTTTAAACTCTGGTTCAGTTTGGGTTTCAGTTTTTACAAAATGAAAACCGATCAAATTTAAAAATTTGGTTCAATTCAAACCGAACCGACTGAATGCACACCCCTAGTAGAATCTAGCTACGCTTGGTTTCTGATTGAACTTAAATTGGTGTTACAGGAAAAATTGTAAAAAAAATACCACATATATATGTCTAATTATCACTCTTGTTTTTAAATAGTCATCATAGTAAAATATATCGTGCAACTGTCATAATTTTATTATTTCAGTACATTAACAGCGTGTGGTTTCACCAAATCCACGCATGGTTAAAATTGTGACATGTACATAATATTTTTAACGAAATTGTGACATATATGTTATATTTTACTAGGGTGTCCATGAAGTATAAGTAACTATAAGTGAGATAGAAATTCACGTGAGGTCAATGTATTGAAATAGCAAAATTGTGACACTTACAAAATATATTTTGTTAGGATTACAATTAAAAGACAAAAATGATAATTTATAAGATATTTTTGCAATTTTCTTTGGTATTATACTTTGAATTTTTATTATCTCAAGTATTTTCCAACTTTTCAATGAATGGCCTAGTTATAATATTCTACATCTATTTTTCTCCTTTATAAGTAAATACATTTATATAAATTTAAAACTCTATATTTTTCATAATTGATTTATATTAATTATATTCAAATATTCTTTTTGTTTATTTCTTTAAATTTTATAAAATTTTATTTTCTACAAAACAATATCTATATAATATATCTTTTAGAAGTATAAATTTTAAAATATTTAAAATATATCATATCTTAATTTACCACTAAACAACAATTCTTTACTTAAAAATCAAATCGAAATTCCAAGTACATCTCTCAACTTGCAACCAAACACATATTACCACGGCTACGGCCACGATCAATTCTACTTCGAAACCGGATACGGATACAGCTCCATAATCTTCTTCCACGACGGCCTAGCGCTTATATCATCCCACCAAGCGCTCACGTGCTTCCGGTCCCTAACCAAATACTCCTTTCCGGGCATATGGTTCATCAAATAATGCCCGAATGGCAAGTGACTAAGATCGGCTAGGCTGAATGTTTCGCCGGCCAAATATTTGCTTCTGGAAAGCCTCTCTTCGTAGATGTCTAGCACACGGCTGAGTTTTTCCTCATTCTCTTTAATGCGCGCCGGATCAGGTGTTACGCCCCATCTCAGACCGAATACAACATGTGTTATCAAGTCGACGAGTGGTGGATCAAAGTTATGGGCTTCGACTTCTATCCATTGTTCAACAAGTCCTTTCTCTTCCATTGTCTTTCCCATGAGTTGATGTCCTCGAGACTTGAATTTCTCCGCTATGTATCTTATGATAGCCCGGGATTCTACACGCAAATTATTTGTTGCCGAAGGGGCATTCGTAATTTTTATATATTATTGATGCACAGACTATAATAGAAGAAAAAATTTATAATATATATTTTTTTTTACAAAATATCTCATTCAATCCACTCTACAGATCAAAACTTAAAACTAACACCCAAGAAAAATCATCAAGTAAACACGCCTATGTAAATATTTGTAAAAACAAATATTAATTAGTCGTAAATTTTTTAAACTTAGGAGATGATTTCCTATATATATCATTAATGTTTTTATTGGTTTTGTTCACTTTGTTTTTTGTTTTTGTTTTGTTTTTTTTCTTTTTTTATGATACGAGTGACAATAAATATTATTAAAGAAATATAATATACACATAAATTAACATAATATATATTTTATTTATTTATAAAAAATCAATTGAAACACAATATTTTTTTTTATTATTTGTTAAATTTATGTATAATATATTTATAATAAATACATAAGTATATACATGTGCAGCATGTGTGTAAAAAAATAAATAATAATAACTTTATTCACAATAATTATTTTACTTTTATATAAATAAATAAATTCCATCACTTGGATATATAAGTAAACGAACCCCATTATCACTTCTTGGGTTCATTAATCTCTAAAATAATGAATGTGATAAGTTAAAATAAATATTTAATACTTAGTAATATTTGAATAAAAATTATAAATTAATATTTATTTTATTTGTTTTTAATAAAAACTCGCAGTCGCTATCTGAAAATAATAATGAATAGTATAAAAAATCTATTTAAGTACACTTTGCACAATATTGGATAGATAAATGTGTAATGATAACTTTGTATTTTTTCTTTCTTTCTTTTTATAAAAAATAAATATATATTGGTTTTTTTATTTTAAATATTTTTCTAATTTTTCTTTTTTTACTAATCAAGGTTATATTGCTTATTAAAACATAACAATTTATTATACTATAAACGTTAATGGCATGTATCAACTGCTGATGCGATCAAATCAGTATGGTGCTGATTTGGACGGATCAGCATATACAATACAAGTAATCAACATATATTATATATATCAGTATATTTATAATACAACGTATATTATATTATAACTCAGCATATGATATATTTACTATGTGTAAATATATACTGGTTATTTGTATGACATATGTTGATTCGGTGAAATTATGCTGACTGGGCCGGATCATCACAGAATCTACGGCCAACATTAATCTAACATCTAACAATTTATTAATGTATGCTTAATTCTTTTGTGTTTTTTAATTCAAATAATAATTTAAAAGCAAAATTGTTCATAACTTCCTTGTGATTTTGAAATTCAACGTAAATTTTCCTTATATTTGAAAAATTGTATGACGCCCCTTATACTTTCAAAAATATTGTATGAAATCTCTTTTTACGTCTATATTTTTTGCATAGCAGGGATTTTATTCAACGGTTTCAGGGATTTTATTCAACGATTTTTAAAGTATAAGGAGGTCTCATACAATTTTTAAAATACGTTGAAAAATTTACGCTCAATTATGAAATTAACAAGAGAGTAACAAAGAATTTTGTCTAATCTAATATAGCCCTCAAATTATATATTTACAATAATTATTTTTAAAAAAAATGAAATTTAACTTTTAAAAAAAAAAAAAAAGAAAAAGAAATACTAGTTACCGTATAATGTGAAATCCCCTTCTTTAATGACGGGAAGCTTTCCAAAGGGCTGCAATACAGCTTGCAAAAACACCTTAATCAAAATCAATATACATACATATATATATATATAGAGAGAGAGAGAGAAACCTGCAGGTTGAGAAATTGAGGTGATCTGTTCTCTCTTTTGAAGAGGTCGACATGGACGACGTCGTATTGAATTCCGATCTCCTCAAGACAGACGATGACTCTCTTCGGATTGCCGTAGGTTGGGCCGTACACCGTCACTGCCGCCATGGATATATATATGTTTGTATGTCTGTATGTATCTTCTTCTTCGATAGGATAAAAGGTAGAGGATGAGGGCACATAGTAGAATACTACTGTATGTACTAAGTACTACTCTCGCTCTCACCTGCAAACCAACACCTCTTCTCGACTTTTCTTTCTTACATAAATATATAATAATAATTATTATTATTATTATTTTATTTTATTTTTTTTTAGGTAAATTGCAAAAAATATCACACACTTATACTCCATTATTACTTTTGTGTCTCACTGGCAAAATATATCGCACGTACTTGCAAAAGTCACTATTTTTATCCTTTGGCCGCGGGCAAAAAATATAAATAGCGATTTTTGTAAACACGTGAGATATATTTTGTCAGCGTGATAAATACACAAAAAAAAATGATAATATGGTATAAGTGTGAGATATTTTTTACAATTTTTTCTTATTTTTTATAATATGAGAACCGCAGCCGCTATATGAAAATGCGTACTTAAAATTTGGTCAAAGCTTCTATTATCTCTACCTCGTGCTTTACTACAAAATAATACTCCATCCGTTCTAATTAAAGTGTTCATATTAATGTAAATATAAAATTTAAGTAAAATATAATTAAGAAATATATTAATAAAAATAAATATTATATAATAAAAATAAGTATATATTACAATTAAAATAACTAAATAGTTTAATTAAAATTAAAAAATTATAAAATATAAAACTTAAACTTTGATTAAAGTGTATAATCATATTTTTTAAAAATGACAAATAAAATAAAATGAACAGTAATAGAAATAATAGATAAAAAAAAAAAAAAAGAAATTAAAAGAGTAATAATAATTATAATAATAAAACCTTTGTCAGAGATTCAATTTTCTCTATCCCAAGACCACAAATAATAATAATAATAATAATAATAATAATAATAATAATAATAGCATTTTAATGTAAAAGTATAATGGATATGCATCCATGATGTTGGTAAATTGATCATTCGAAAATATTCTCATAATATATCAAGAAATATTATTTTTCGGTTAATATAATATCGCGTTAATTTCAGAACAATTATAGTTTATATGTCAAGTCAGGGATAAAAACCTTTTTGAAAAACAAAAATAAAATAATGTATGTTTTCAAATTAAGTGGCACTTCAATGTTTCATAGTTCCGACGAATTAAAACAAGAGAAAGAGGGTTGTGTCAGAAAGTTTAAACACGAAGGTGACTTACCAAAATATAGCTGAAAAAAACAAAGGAAAGGAAAAAATTATCGAAGAATAATTTATTTGATTGTGGTTTGAAATTGATTTGAAATAAAATATTATATTAAATTTTTATTTAAATAATATTTTGATATAATATTTTATAAAACAAATATATATATTTTAAATTTGAAATATTAAATGAACTAATAAAAAATTTTAGAAAGAGAGAGCTCTCAGTATATAATTTCAAAATTATGCATTTACAGCATGTGCAATTTGATATTCTAACTTTATCATAAAAGTTAAAATGCATTATTTGGTATTTATTTAATAGGGGGCCAAGGGTGTTGCCCCCTAATTATTTTAGTTGTCTATTATTATTATTATTTTTTTATTAAACAATATTTTAAAAAATTTTAATATTTATGTAACAATTCAGTCCTATGAATTTAATAAAAATATTATTATTACAAATATTCAGTTCAAATATCCAATAAATTTAATTTAAACATTCTAAATATTCAAACATATTTGAAAAAGGATAAAATAAAAAAAACAAACTGAAATGTTAGGGATTTGTATTTTTTTAATTCTAAATTTATTATATAATGTTAAAATTATTATATATTATACTTTTAACGATTTTCGACCTGGCAAAATAAATTTCTGGTTCTGCCACTAGTAAATCCAATCATTTACCAAAGCTGCTCGAGCCCGTAATTGCGGTCTCAATCTTTGAGTCTGAGCTAAAATTCATGTTCGTGTATTTTTGTGTTTAGCATTTAATCCGAGCGGACGGCATGGCTTTCGATACTACTATCAGTGGCAGAACTAAACTCGGCTCAAAAGAGATGATGTATTTTAAAAATTTTAAAATCTTACTACAATTTATTTATGCACATAAAGGGACATATTTATTTATTTTCAGACAAATATATTTATTTACATAGTTGGGGTTGAAACACAACATATAATATTATTTACTATTCTTGTCTTTAAAACTTTGATAAATAATACTCCCTCCGTCTCAGATACTGTGTCTGTTACACCGTAGACACGGTATTTTAGGAGGGGTATAATTAATAGATAATTAAGAATGTATTAGTGAAAATAATTATCCTATAATATAAATAATTATAAATTAAGATTGAGATAACTAATTAGTTTAATTAAAATTAAAAAAAATAAATTTTAAAAATTTAAAATGAGATTAAAGTGTGTAATCATTTTCCAAAAAAGAAAAGTGACATGGTATGTGAGACGGACAGAAACGGCAACATGACATAGTATCTGGGACCGACGGAGTAAGTTATAGCGATATGAACTACATATTTCATATATTTATTTTCTGTGTTGTTTGAAAAAAAAAAAGTATTGTTCTATTTAGAAAAAAAATAATAAAAAAATTATTAAGATTGTTTTACTCCTGCAACCAATAATTTGTTTTGATTTAAATTTGAATTTTTTGTTTAAACAATATCTTATTCTTTCAAAAAATAGTACTCCCCTCCATCCCACATACCATGTCCATGTTGCCGTTTCTTTCCATATTTCATGTCACTTTTATTTTTTGGAAAATGATTACACACTTTAATCTCATTTTAAACTTTTTAATTTATTTTTTTAATTTTAATTAAACTAATTAGTTATTTTAATCTTAATTTATAATTAGTTATATTACATGATAATTATTTTTACTAATATATTCTTAATTATCTACTAATTACACCCCTCCTAAAATATCGTGTCTACAGTGTATCAGACACCGTATATGAGACGGAGGAAGTAATATATTTGTATTATAAATATACATAATAAATAATAATAATTTTAATTTGAAATTAAAAAAAAAAAAAAGAAAAAACCAAATTTTAGTTATTAATATTTTTTTATTCATTTTAAAATTTCTTCTACATATATATTTATTTTTAAAGAATAAAAAATATAATAAAAATATATAAATAGGGGTGGCGGCAAAGGGTGCTGTAGTACCGCCGCCCCTCACTAGCTGCTATGATACTTTTAATAACTATTATAAGTAGGTGTAAGCAAAATATTCGAAATCCGAAAATTCAATTTGAACCAAATCGAAATTTAAAATTTGGTTTGGATTTTTTAGATTTTTGGATTGGATCGGATTGAATTTTCAACAAATTTCGAATTTTCGGATTGGATCGGATCGGTATACTTAAAATCTGAACCAATCCGAAATTCGAAAATGTAACATTTTAATATATTTTTTATTTTATATATTTAATATTTTATTAGAAAATATTATATTTTAATATAAAAAACTCAAATTTATTAATTATATTTTAATATATATAATTTTTATATATTATATATATTTAATATTATAAAATAATAATAAAATATAAAAGAAATTTAAAAATAATAAAATAATAAAAATATTTAGAATTTCGGATTTTTTGGTTTGGTTCGGATTTTTTTAGTTCGGATTACGAATTTTTTGATTTCGGATTTCGGTTATTTCGGTTCGGTTCGATTGGTTTTTTCAAAAATTTTGAATTTTCGGATCGGTTCGAATTTGGCAAAATCCGAACCGAAAATCCGAATGCTCACCCCTAATTATAAGTCCAATTAATAATAAATCCTTCAATCAATTAATTTATTCGACCAATATGAATTTTATTTTACTGAATAAGCTATTTCTGAGGTTTGAAATTAATTCAATTATAAAATTAAATTTCATCGATTAATTTGATCGATTATTAAAAAAAAATGAGGGAAAAAATGAGGGTGTGGGGAGGCAGGGTTAAAAATTTAGGGTTTTTGATATTTATATATTATTATTACAAACCGATAGCAAAATATTAAAAATTACATAAATAATACGATATCAATTATTTTAAGATATAAAAATATGTGCAAATTGCAATAATATGTTGGATTCTTAGAAATAACAATTATGTATGATTTGAATCATCACTTACTATTCTGAAACCTGAAATTTTAAAATATCAAATGAAATTGTTGTTTAAATAAATATTCAAAATTAAATTTCAACCTAACCAAAAAAAAAAAAAAAAAAATCATTCAAATTAATCTTCGGTGTATAATACTACTATAATCTCTTCTATCAAATTTTGAATTAACTTTTTTTTTTTTTTTGTATAGATTTTATTAATAACAGTTTTCTATGTGGATAAAACTCTACACCATTGAAACTAAATATGATTTACAAAAATTATCTACAGAGTAAAAAATATATCATGTATTCTTTTATTTACTAAAAAAAATATGTATATATATATATATACAAAAAAGACTATGTTTCATTTGTAGCATCAAATTCAATTTTATCAGCATAAAGCCTATTTACAATAATTTTTTTTTTTTTCTCAAAATTAACAACTAAAAATAATGCAATTATGTAAATGATTTTTAAAGAAGAATATGTGCCTTATATATAAAAAATAGCAAAATTTGTAAAGGTGTTTTGAGTTTCAAATAGCAAAATTTTAAATTTGAATATTTGTTCGATATAATATAAATAAATGTTAATTAGATATTTTAAATATAAAATTAATTTAATCTAAAATATTAAAAAAAAACACACACACACAAATATAAGTTTGGATTAACTTTGTTTACCCAACTTATTTTTGAATTGCGATTATAAAAAATAATGATAAAAAATACAAAAAAAACTTTCAAATACCCTTTTTTACAAAAAAAAAAAATATATATTCAATTTTTTATTACAAAAAATCAAATATTCAATTTAAAATAAATAATACTACATTTTATATTTTTTACACAATTTTTTATATCATTAAATAAAAATTATTTTTATCGAAAAACGTTGGATGAACAGAGCCCATAATTTTGAAGAAAAAAAAATATTGATTTGTAAAAAATCCTTACCCAAACCTTCAAACAAACACATCCAACCAATTTTTCAAATTTTTTTATTACTAAAATTATTTTTTTTAGAAATTTTACGGGTATTTATATTAATGAAATACAATATCTAACATAATAACTTGATCTTCATCTAATGTATTAAACAAGATTTTAAAAAATATTTATACTATTAATTTATTAGAAAAAAATTATTTTTGGTACCGATATAACCAAAATTGATAAATTTTTTGGTCTCAATATAAAACATTTATCAATTTTGATCTCAATATAAACCAAAACTCATCATTTTTTGTTCCAATAAAACTAAAACTCACCATTTTTGGTCCCAATATAAATTTTTTATTAATTTTAGTCCCAATATAACTAAAACTCATCATTTTTTGTCCCAATATAATCAAACCTTATATTTTTTTAGTCCCACCGTCAACAAACCGACAAAAAAATGCTGACGCAGACTTACAAGATTGTGCAATTTCTTCAAATATAAATAAGGTTTGATTTATTTTTACGTCAGCATTTTCTGTCGGTTTGTTGACAGTTTGACCAAAAAAAATAAAGTTTGATTATATTGGGGGGACAAAAAATGATGAGTTTTGGTTATATTGAGACTAAAATTGATAAAAAATTTATATTGTGACCAAAAATGATGAATTTTGGTTATATTTGGACAAAAATGATGAGTTTTAATTATATTGGGACAAAAATGATGAGTTTTAGTTATATTGAGACCAAAATTGATAAGATTTTTATATTGTAACTAATTGATAAATTTTAATTATATCGGGACCAAAAATAATTTTTCCCTAATTTATTTAATTTTATTAATATAATATTATAACATAAATGTATTAATTTTTATACTATAAGATTGTTTTTATAATATGTGCATGTAGTTATATTAAATATGAATGAAAAATATATTATAAGTAATTATTTTTGTCTCTGTATTTATATTCTACGCCGTGTTATTTTTTAACATGCTCATATTTATTTTGGAGTTATTTGATTTTATATTGTACACGGCCGCATTTTGAAATGTTGTTGTGTCATCCTAATCAGATGTAACATCAAATCCATTAAGTACATATTAGTATTTCATTAGTTTTTTTAACTATAAGATCAAAATTGATTAAAAAAATTTTTAATGGGACAAAAATGATGATTTTTTTTATAAGGAAATCAAAATTGATTTTATTTTTATTGGGATCATTTTTTTTCTTTTTTCCTTAAAATTAACAATATTTAATGCAAATGCAAGTAAAATTAATTACTCTATATAATAAATCGGTAAGAATTAGCATTAATCAAGTATAGTAAATTTTAAGTGTTCGTTTCCGTTCGAGAATAAGGCTCGTTTTCGTTCGTTAAATTTTCGAGCTCGTTCGTAGTGTTGAGCTCGGCTCGTTAAGAATTTTTGTTGTTTGAGCTCGTGTTCGTATTCGGCTCGTTTAGACTCGATTAAGCTCGTTTGAATTCGTTTGAGCTCGTTTGTCTTTTTTTTAAAAAAAATTATATATAAATTATAAAGAAAATTTTAAATTATTATTTTTATATATTTTAAAATTAATATTTTATTTATTTATAAATTATGATTTATATGTATATATAATATTTATAATAAATATATTATTTAAACAAACGTTCGCAAACAAAACTCGGGCTTGTTCGTTAACCAAACGAGCCTGTTTATGTTGTTTAACTCAGCTCGTTAACGTTCGCGAACGAGCTTTAATCGAGCCGAGTTCACGAACGACTCAGTTCGTTTAACAACTCTAAGTCTACCCCATGGAAATCAACTAATAATTGCATGTACAAAAAACATTAATAATCTAATTGCATGCATAAGAAAAATAAAACAGTCCATTCACACGAGCATTGAGAAACATCCAACATTGAATAAGAAAAACACACACAACATTAAGCAAAAGTTCAATCAAGCATAGAAAAAGAAATATATCACATAAAATACACACATATTAATAATAACGTTAAGAATACACAAAAGAAAATATATATATATCCAAAACATGCACACAATAACAAACATACTAAAAGAGATAAACATACACACAAAAATACGAAGTCAGTACTAATAAAATAATTTAATTATGCAAGCATACACAATAAATCTAGTAAATGAACATATACACGGATATTAATAGTAGAGCTGATAATATACACAAAACAATAAACAAAAGTACAACACACACACAATAAAATCAAATATTATTGTGCAAGTATACACAATAAACAACTAAATGAACAAATTATATCAAATTCACTGTGTATCTTTTGTATATACACAAACCTACCACATACACATATACACGCAAATTAATAATAGAGTTAAACATACACCAACAAAATAATATAAAAATAGTACATATATGTACACAATAAAATTAATTCTATTGTGCAACCATACACAATAAACCAACTAAATGAACAAACTATATCAATTTATTGTGCATGTTTTGTATCTATACAAAACATATTAACACAAACCAACCACATACACATATACGCACATATTAATAAATAAAAAATCAACACAAAAATAATACAAACACATACACAATAAAATCAATTCCATTGTGCAAGCATACACAATAAACCTACTAAATTATGCATCAATTTTATTGTGTATGTTTTCTATATATACATACACACAAACCTACCACATGTTAACAATAGAGTTAATTGAACATACACAAAAAAAAAAAAAAAAAAAAAAAAAAACCCAGTATAAAAACATTACAAATATGCACACAATATAATCAATGTGTTATATGTCTACCTTATGCACATATAGACATTAATAATAGAGTTAGCTAAACATATACACAAAATAATACAAAATCATTAGAAACATGCACACAATAAAATCAATTCTCTTGTGCAAATATACACAATTTTAAAATTGTGTATGTCTTGTATGTATACAAATATACACACACAAACCTACCAAATGCATGTCTACATGCATATTAATAATAAAAAGTCAAACATCACAAAATAATACACAAATAATACAAACATACTAAATAAATAATACACAAATAATACAAACATACAAACACAAACCACCCACATACAAAAATATACAAGCACATTAATAATAAAGTTAAACACAACACACAAAACAACACAAAATCAATACAAACATATGTACAATAAAATCAATTCTATTGTGCAAGCATACATAATAAACCTACTGAATGAACACACTTTATCAATTTTATTTTGTACGCACGCAAACCTACCACATGCACATATACACACAATAAATCAATAAATAACAAGGAATCACATAATAAAAATAACTAATCATACAGAAATATGAATAGATATACATACACATATCGCCTACAATGAAAATCAAGTCATAGTTGAAGTTTTCACTGACAATTATAGAACATATATATTAATCTATGGTATGTATAACATTCACAAAACTAAAAAAGAAAATCACATAACAAAAGTTCATGATCATAAACCAAATAAATAAATAATCAAGGAAATAAAGCAATTTCATAAAAGAATGCCAAGATTCTCGACCCAATCCATGCTCATTACCATGAAAAGTGCACTATAATTTCCATGAGAACCAACTGTCTCATGCAGTCAACTGCATCCTCCTTAATTCCTCATTGCACAGCCATTAATAATCGTAAGAAAACAATTTGAGAAGACAACCAAACATGCATGGGAATAAATAAGAGAACCTATAATATTCCTAAAGTTCAACCTCACATAATTCTGTCATATTGCTTCCAGAACAAGAATTATTGGGGGATAAGGAACCCCTAGTTCTTATAACCAAGAATCCCAAGCCTAGTAAAACCATTTGCCGTATCATGTAATTTTTCATTTACAACAAGAACAACATCTAGATGAATCTGTTTATTATGCTGAACAAGAACATAAAAATGGTTATCATCTATATATCAAAAACAAACAAAAATAGGCACAGCACACCTACCCCATACAAAAATAAACGTACAGTCCGGATAGATATAACAGGGCTTCTAGACATCTATCTGTATAGTCAGCAAAAAATTAACAAACAGTCCCACTAAAAGAATGCCAGCAGCAACAACAACAATAGACATACATTTATCACCGCTAGAAAGTGACATGTACCTAAAAACACTTACCTACGCTTGTAGGACCGAACAGTTATAAGAAAATCATCTTCAAAACAAAAACCACAAACCTAAAATAAATATAAAACAGCATAACAAGCCACATGGTGCTCATATTACACAGAACAATACAACAAAAATACATATATAAGAACAAATTTAACTGGAAATTACCTTATAAGAGAAGGAAGAAGGCAGTGGTGGATGGTAAGACTCATAGAAGATAGTTCTGATCCTTCCCCAAAACCGAAGAGAGTCAGTTGTAGCACTATAGCCAAATCTAGATCTCTTCCTACCTTGAACAGGCAAGAAAGAATCAAGCAAACAAAGTTGAGAAAATGTCAGAGAAAAATAAATACCTGAACACCCTGAAGCTCCATGTCAGGTAAATATTTCTTCCTTTCTTCTCATCTTATCATCTTATTAAGTGGCACTTGGCTTCCTCCCCACATCAAGAAAAGCAAATCCTACATAATTGACGGGCAGAGCATATAATAAAGCAGAGACAACATTAATAAATAGTAATAGTACCTTAAGGAAGGACATCTAGATCTTTTGTTGGCAGCATCTCCTCAAAGGATGTTACATCACCTCAGGAAATATAGAAAAAGAAAGGAGAAGTGTTAATAAGTTATTAACACAATAAACCCCATGTGGGTCCCACATAAAGAGTACAACAAATATATGATGACATCTAAATACATCCACACTCACACAATTCTTAGAGAGTACAACAAATATATGATGACATCTAAATACATCCACACTCACACAATTCTTAGTAAGTCAACATCACAGACTAATACCGGTAAAGCGGAAAAAAGAAGATTAGTCCCAAATGGATTAATGAAAGAATGATTGTAGCACAATACGCTGTAAGTTGTAAAAAATAGATAGGCACCAGCATGGCTCAAAGATTGGCGAGCATCATCAGCCCTGTCTTTACAAAAAGAAGCTATCAATTAGCATCTGAAAAAAGTGAATATTAAAATAATGTTTATAACGTACATCATTGAATGCAACCATGCCGTATAAATTTCTCAAGTAAAAGATACAATTGAAAGAAATCATGCATTGATTAAAAAAAAAAAAAGTAATATTTAAAAGTATTCCAATCCAAAGAAAATGTGCAAAAGGTTATATGTAATATTTTAGCACAAGTTGTAAGCTGGTTGCTAACAAGAAGTCATGCTATCCAATGTTAAAAAAAATATAATATTTTATCGAATCTTTTATTAAGGTTGATGAAAATTTAGAGAATATACACACTCAATAAATTGAAATGAATTCAATGACAAAGCACTAATCGGCCACACCATGGCTGCAAAATATCCTGTCGCATGTCATATGACATGCCTTCCGGACTGCCCCGCCAAGATACGGGCGATTTTATTATTGATGCTCAGCTGAACTCAGATCTTCCCATACCTCATCATTTAGCTCAGATTGAAAAACAAAAAATAACAATATAACTTGATTGTATAATTGAAAAATAGGTCAAGAGAGCTAAAAAGCATTATTTGAAAGTGGACCAAGCTGAAAAATATAGTTGCATCGGGCATGTAGATAAAACTTTCATGAAAAACAATCTAGTAAAGGTGAATAATGAACGGTGAATAACCCGCTGGGAGAACAAACTAGAAAAATTAAACTATGTAATCAACAGAGTGAAACCAAACCAAAACAGGAAAATGAACTCAGCCTAAACCTGTCAAAATACAACCTAAGTTAGAGCCAGAGCAAGATCCAAATCCAAATCCAAACCTAAAAAAGCCACACCAAAAAGCAAGACTAGTATAACCACAACATGAACGTAAAGACCCAACCCAATCAAAGAAGAGCCTAGAGCTGGAACCAAACTCAAACCCGACCCAGAACCCCACCTAAGCTAGAGCAGAAGTTAGATTCAAAACCAACTGAGAATCACATAAGCCAGAGTTGAACCTGAACCAGGGCCATGCTAGTGTTGGAACTAACTTGAACCTGACCATGGAATCACCAGACCCATAGCCAAAGCCAGAACCAAACACGAACTAGAACCCCAACCATACAAGAACTGCACCAAAGATAGAGCCAAACCAAATCCAAGCCAAGCTAAAGCCATATACGATCCAACCCCAAGCTAGAGCCAGAACTACACCCAAACACAACATAGAATCTCCTAAGTTCGTGTCAGAGCCAGAGCCGAACCCAGGCTTGAACCCAAACCAAATCCAGAATCACGACAGAACACAAACTACTCAGAATCACCTGAGCCAGAGTAAAAGTCATAGCCGATCCCCAACTAGAACCCCATCCGGACAAGAGCTAGACCTTGAAAACAAAACATGAATTAAACCCGAGCTTGACTGGAGCCAAAACCAGAATCACCTGAGCAATAGCCACAGCCAAAATCGAACCAAACCATCAAGAATTTAAAGATAAATTGTTCTTTCAAGAACCTAAAATCGAAGGGAGCAGAACACCAAAAATGGCTTAAAGAAACGAGTGAGAGAGGGTTTTTGAGACAATAAAATTTTCTTCCTCCGAAAACCGAAATTCCTAAATTCTTATAAACCCTAACATTTCTTGGAAACATTCCCGTTGTAACGAAGGAGAAAATCAAAGTGAAGCACCAAATCAAATTCATGTGCATACGAATATACTCTACACCGTGAAACTGAAAATCAGTAAGCAGTGAGTCAACCCAAGCGAATATACTCTACCTGTGGATTGGTAACTCTCGATAGCATTCGCAAATCAAATCCTTGATTCAACGAAAACTGCATACCGATGGGCGTGGTCGGCGGCGGCGTTCGTATTCCTCCGTTGGATCCTCCTCTATTCCACCGGAAACTTCAAAAGCCAGAATCAGAATCCTAAACCACCTCTAACCATGAGTTGAACCTTAAACCGTAGAGGAGAAATGGGATGCCTACGGTAGCCTGCACTGCAAGGATAGGGAGATGAGAATGAGATTATTATTATACTATATTATATATATATATATAATATTGTTATAAGGAAATAGTGTAACGGTCGGATTTTTGCAATCAATTAGCAGATTTTGTGATATTCTTACCATCTTTTTATTAGGTTTCAATATCTGAGAATTTTTCTTTTTATCAAATCAATATTTGAGAATTTTTGTGGCCGTTACAAGGAAATAATTGTTTTTAAACATTACTTCTAAGGTTGCGTTTGTTTTGTGAGATTTTGATATTGGGATTGGATTTCGAATATAATAAGATTTTAAACTAAAACTGTTTATTTAATATAATATAAATATATATCGGTAATGATTTGATATTTTTATAGGCAAATAAAATGAAATAGTTAATCTAGCTTCAAACCCCACCAACAAATTAGTAGTATTATTTACTTTTTTTCAAATGTATTAAATATTTTTATTTTTTTTTATAAAAGAAAACTAGAAAATTATAAATATTTTTTAAATATAACAAATTTGAATGTGGTGTATTAAATTAAAAGTTATCAAATCTAGGCTTCATTTAAACAAGAGATTTTTTTAGAGTTTTAAGATTTTAAAAATTTTAAAAATAATAAAAAATTAGTATTAAATATGATTTTTTTAGTAAAAATATATTTAATATAATATTAATTTTAAAAAATAGAGCCAAATTTTAAAAAATATTGTGTAACCAGTGTGTTCATTATTATCTCAAGTATTTTCCAATTAAGGTTTATTAAAAATTATGGATTATAGTATATCGACTTTGATTTAAATGTTAAGCGGGTTAGTTTGGTTCATAGACTTTTTTATCTGATTAAAATTCTACAGTATGATTTATATATAATGAGATTTATTATTATATTTAGTATTTGGAATCCTATCATATGTTTAATCGGTAAAATTATGCGCGACATCTTGTTTCTTTATTTAGTAGAATTCATATTTGATGGGATTTATTATATTTAGTATTTGGAATCTTATAGTATGTTTTGTTGGTAAAATTATGCAGGACATCTTGTTTGTTTCTCTATATGAGTGAAAGGATTTGAATTTTTTATATTATAAATGACATAATTGTGTCCCCATAGATTTTATTTATTTTGATAAATTAAATCTCTATTTTATAAGTAATATGAATTGAAAATGTATCAATAATTTTACAGGGATGACAATAGGTTCACGTAAACTCGAGACCTGACCTCGACCCAACCTATTTATTCGAACTTGAGTCCAATTATTTGAGTATTGGGTTTAGATCTGGGTCATGTTCGAGGTATTCTAATCGGGTCCGAATCGGGTCTAAAGGCGGACCCTATCTGCATCTGGACTCGATTTATAATATTAATATATATCAACTATACATATAAAAAAATAATTTCTAACAATATAATTATATTAAAACTATCTTTTAGTTTTATTTATTTATTTTTTATTATAATATTTTTTTTAATAAAATACATAAATTTTAATATATATCAAGTCCTGTAATGTGCATTTTGAATTAAAATTTTAAGAATTGTAAAAAAAATGGATTTGTCGGATCCATTGGGTCTTACCGGGTATAGTTTCGGCTGAATCCGGTATAATCGGATCCAATTTGAGTCTTGGGTCTAACAATATATATTCGGGCGGATCTAAGTTCCAACCGAACCCGACTCATTGGCATCCCCGTAATTTTGTAATTCAAATAATTTATAATAAATAATAATTTAAAACAATGAGTTTATTAATTTATTTTAAAAAAATATTGTCCATAAAAAATAATATAAATTTTAATTTAAGTATATAATTCAAATAATAATTAATTTTACAAATTATTTAATTTTTATTTTATATAAATATGTTTATAATATATAATATTATTTCTTTATATAAAAGTAATTAAAATCTCACTACTAAAAAATTCCTTTATTTGTAGAATTTTGGATCCTTTTTTTTAAATTTTATTATTTTAAAGTGCTATTCGATTGAGATTTTAATAAATTTTTTTTTTTTATTTTAAAAAGTTTATGATTTCTGTGGATTTAGAAAATCCACATAGTCTATCCTGAGTGAGTTTGAGTTTGATGGATTTTAATAAATTGATTTAAATGGATTTCTACCGATTTGATTAAATTCTTTATGGATTTATAGTAATTTTGTATGATTGTAAAATATTTTTTTTTATGAATATATATTAATTATATAAATTTATATCAAACACAAATTTTATAAATATAATACATTTATAATTAAAATTATTACATATTATTATATTTTTATAAAAAAAAAATTAATATTAATAAATAATCTATAATTATTAATAATGTAAAAGTATTGTAACATCTGTAACACTACTATATCAAATTAGTATTATAATTCTTTATTAGTTATTATTATTTATATAACTTTTTTACATAAAAATAAATACGCAAATAAATAAAATAAAAATATAATTTAAGAATTTTTTTAAAAATATATTAAAATAAATAAATAAATAAATATAAATTAACGGTTCAATAAAATATATATATTTAAATATATATTTCACCGTTATTAGAATGATAATATAGTGTATCCATTAAAAGTTGAATACTTTCGTATTTTAAAAGACTTTTAAAATTTGTATTGAATACCTTCAAATTTTAAAAGACTAAAAGTCTGGTCCGGATTTTAAAAGTCCAACAAAATCTTCAAAATCTAAATTGAATACACCCCCTAAATTTCATCGTTTTTTTTTTTGTTTTATTCAAACATAAATTTTATGGGATTTCAAAAACCAAATCTCATCGAATCATATTTTATTACTAAATATTTATATTAGAAATTTTACGGATATTTATTTCAATGGTAAATTATATAACACCCTTTGTGTTTTTAGTAAAAGTGCATAAAATAGAGGTGTTTTATTTATTGTGTAAAACTCTATTGTATTAATATAAAAGTTTGCATGAAACACCCTATTTGTCCAAAGTTGTGGTACCTAAATTACGCAAGATTCATACAAAAACTGTAAAATATTTTAAATAATTTTTTTTTAATAAAATAAATATATAAATAATCCTTCATTTTATAATTTTGAAGACAAATTGTTATCTGGTTTTATAAAAATTATAAAAATAAATGATTTAATCAAGTATTTATTATTTATTTTATTCAAAACTTATTTAAAATATTTTACACTTTTTATTTTTATAAAACTTAATTTAGATTTTTATTTAGAATCAAATATCGGCTTTGGACAAGAAGGGTATTTTATGCTAACTTTATATTAATACAAAGAGATTTAACGTAATAAATAAAACACCATGTTTTATACATTTTTACTAAAATCTCATGGAATGTTATATGATTTACCCTTATTTTAATGAAATACAATATCTAGCATAATAATAACTTGATTTTCATCTAATTTATTGAACAAGATTTTAAAAAATATTTATTATATTAATTAATTTATTTTTATTAATATTAATATATTTATTTTTATATTATAAGATTGTCTTTATAATAGTGCATGTAGTAGTTATATTAAATAAGAATTGGAAAATATATATAAGTAATGATTTTTGTCTGGTTTTTATATTCTCCTTATTATTTTTTAACACGGTGGTGTTTGTTTTGGAATTATTTAATTTTTTTATTGTACATAGCAGTGTTTTTATTCTAATAAGATGCCACGTCAGATCTATTAAATATAGGTACGTTAACGGGACGGATTCGGAACGGATTTTGCACGCTTCGAGACCCGTTTCGCTCCGGTTCGGCGCCAACTTGACAAATTCATTTTTTAAAAAAAAATAAAATAAAATATAACTTTTTTTAAAATAATGTAATACTAAAAATAAAAATATGCATAAAAGTATCAAGAAATAAGAATAATTAAATATTGTCAATAGTCCGCGGCGATGATGGTTAGCTATGGTCCCGATTATAAAGAGAATTGTAGAATAAACAAATGAGAAGACAAATTTAATTTAAAATTAAAGTTCTATTTTATATTTAATTTTTTTAAAATAAATAAATAATAAAATTAATATTACATAAAAATATAAATAAATTATAATAATTATTTAAATATCTCAGTTCGGGTCCGGAAAGAAGCGTGTTTTTAATAAAACCCGTAACTCTCCCCGAATTCAGTCTGGTCTAAAACTCAAAATCCACAGCCCACCTAGACCAAATATTTTAGACCCATCCCATTTGACGACATGCCTAATTAAATCCACATTAATATTTCATTAGTTTTTTTTAACTATGAGATCAAAATTGATTAAAAAATTTTATAACGAGACAAAAAATAATGAATTTTTTATAACGAATCAAAATTGATTTTATTTTTATTGGGAACGCATTTTTTATTTTAATTTTTCCCTAAAATTAACAATATTCAATGCAAATGCAAGTAAAATTAATTACTCTAAATTCATTTTAGTAAATAGATAATAATTAGCATTAATTGTAAAAAAAAAAAAAAACTCAAATTCAATCCAACCCGTCAAAATAAACTATACATAATAATTGCATGTACAAAAAAAAAAAAAATAAATAAATAAATAAATAATCTAAAAATACAAGCTAATTGCATGCATAAGAAATAAACAATTCATTCACACAAGCACACATTGAATAAGAAAAACACACACAACACAATAAGTAAAGTTCAATCAAGCTTAGAAAAAGAAATATATCACATAAAATACACACATATTAATAATAAAGTTAAGAATACACAAGAAAAAAAAAAAAAAAAAAAAAAAAATCAAAACATACACACAATAACAAACATACTAAAAGAGTTAAACATACACACAAAATATAAATTGTATTATGCAAACATACAACATAAACCTACTAAAAGAATATTCTATATCAATTTTATTTTATTATGTACGTATTGTGTTTACAAACATACACATACAAAGCTACATGCACATATGCAGGTATAATAATAGAGAGTAAAAAACATACAAACAAAAAAAATACAAAAACAGTACTAATATACACA